AAGGAAGGGAGGAGAGGAGGCGTCCGAGACTGAAAAGGGAAGGGAAGGGAAGAAAGGAAGTAAGGGAAGAAGGAAGGATAGAAGGAAGGAAGCCAGGGAGGAGGCCAAGGGTCTGTTACATCAGGAAGGAAGGAAGGAAGGAAGGAAGGAAGGAAGGAAGGAAGGAAGGAAGGAAGGAAGGAAGGAAGGAAGGAAGCCAGAGTTCAATAACATCAGACTGAAGGAAGGAAGTGAGTATATGACCTTACTTCTCATCCCCTAAATTTCCTTACCTCCTCTTTTTCCTCACCCACTTATGTCCTAACCTCCTCACCCCTAACATCCTTACCTCCTACATCCTTACCTCCTATCCTCCTTACTCTCTTAACCCCTTACCTCCTATCTCCTAATCATCACGTAGTGTGGATGACTGACCGCCTGACCAGACTCAAACTTTGGCGTGAAGCGACCACGTCTGACGTTGGCGTTTTTGAGTAAAAATGGCGGATTTCTAGAGGAGCCAATCAGAAGAGAGCGTGGAGACCAGACCCCCCCCCCATAGATCCTCGTCTTCCTCGTCGATCTGAAACTCTGATTCTCAAAAATCCTCCTGTTCTGTAAAAACGGCGAGAACGGGTGTCTCCTGTATGACCCCGACTCGGCTGTGTGCGAACACGTCCTCCTGCCTCCTTTCTTCTCCCCCCTCCTCCCCCTCCTCCCCCTCCTCCTCCTCCTCCTCCTCGCTCGTCTCCTTTTCTCTCTCATCGATCGTGATCCTCTCTCATCGCCGCAGACGCGGCTGAGGAGGAGGAGGTGAAGGGGTTAACTGCGCTCGCCAATTTAGATTTACTGTGAGACAAACACACGGGTGAGGGAGGGGGGAGGAGGAGGTGGGGGGGTGTCTCCATGGAGACGGGGGGCAACGGCAGCAGCACAGTGGAGGAACACGCACACACACACACACACACACACACACTAACACACGGAGTGCCCCTGTGTTAGTGTGTGTGTGTGTGTGACTCCTGTCAGTCTGAGGAGCAGAATGATCCTGATGAAATTATCCAACAGGTTTAAAGGGACATTCCACCGTTTTTAAAGGGATATTCCACTGTTTTTAAAGGGACATTCCACTGTTTTTAAAGGGACATTCCACCGTTTTTAAAGGGATATTCCACTGTTTTTAAAGGGACATTCCACTGTTTTTAAAGGGACATTCCACTGTTTTTAAAGGGACATTCCACTGTTTTTAAAGGGATATTCCACTGTTTTTAAAGGGATATTCCACTGTTTTTAAAGGGACATTCCACCGTTTTTAAAGGGATATTCCACCGTTTTTAAAGGGATATTCCACTGTTTTTAAAGGGACATTCCACCGTTTTTAAAGGGATATTCCACCGTTTTTAAAGGGATATTCCACCGTTTTTAAAGGGATATTCTGTTTTTATTTATTCAGGGTCAAACCCACCGTAACACAGAGTTAGACCCCCCCTCCAGGGATGAATGTTGTCGACCGGGGGGGGGGGGGTTCAGTCTGATGTTATAGACCTGTGGCTTCTGTCCTTCTTTCCTTTCTCCCTTCCTTCCTTCATCTTTCCTTTTCTTCCTTTCCTTCCTTCCTCCCTCATTTCTTCCTTCCTCCCTCCCTTTCGTCCTTCCTCCTTCCTTTCTTCCTTTCTTTCCCGTTCCTTCCTTCCTTCCTTCTTTTCTTTGGCCCTTCTTTTCCTTCTTCCCTCTTTCCTTTCCTCCTCTCCTCCTCTCCCCTTTCCACCCTCCTCCTCTCCCCCCTCCCTTTTCCTCCTCCCCCCTCTCCTCCTTTCCTCTCTCCCCTCCTCCTCCCTTCCTCTCTCCTCCTCTCTCTCCCCTTCTCTCCTCCTCTCTTCCTGACCTGCTCCTTCTCTCCTTCCTCTCCTTCTCTCTCTCTCCTTCTCTCCTCCTCTATTCCTCACCTCCTCCTTCTCTCCTCCTCTCCTTCCTCTCCTCCTCCTCTCCTCCGCTCCTCCTCCTCCTCTCCTCTCTTCCTCACCTCCTCCCCTCCTATCCCCTCTCCCCCTCCCCCTCCTCCTCCTCTCCTCCCCCCCTCCTCCTCTCCTCCTTTCCTTCTCTCTCTCTCCTTCTCTCCTCCTCTATTCCTCACCTCCTCCTTCTCTCCTCCTCTCCTTCCTCTCCTCCTCCTCTCCTCTGCTCCTCCTCCTCCCCTCCTCTCCCCTCTCCCCCTCAGCCTCTCCTCCCCCCTCCTCCTCTCCTCCTTTCCTCTCTCCCCTCCTCCTCTCCTTCTCTCTCTCTCCTTCTCTCCTCCTCTCCTTCCTCTCCTCCTCTCTCTCTCCTTCTCTCCTCCTTTCTTCCTCACCTCCTCTCCCCTCTCCCCCCCCCTCCTCCTCTCCTCCTTTCCTCTCTCCCCTCCTCCTCTCCTTCCTCTCCTCCACTCTCTCTCCTTCTCTCCTTCCTCTCTTCCTCACCTCCTCCTCCTCTCCTTCCTCTCCTCCTCTCTCTCTCCTTCTCTCCTCCTCTCTTCCTCACCTCCTCCTCCTCTCCTTCCTCTCCTCCTCTCTCTCTCCTTCTCTCCTCCTCTCTTCCTCACCTCCTCCTCCTCTCCTTCCTCTCCTCCTCTCTCTCTCCTTCTCTCCTCCTCTCTTCCTCACCTCCTCCTCCTCTCCTTCCTCTCTTCCTCACCTCCTCCTTCTCTCCTCCTCTCCTTCCTCTCCTCCACTCTCTCTCCTTCTCTCCTCCTCTCTTCCTCACCTCCTCCGTCTCTCCTCCTCTCCTTCCTCTCCTCCTCTCTCTCTCCTTCTCTCCTCCTCTCTTCCTCACCTCCTCCTCCTCTCCTTCCTCTCCTCCTCTCTCTCTCCTTCTCTCCTCCTCTCTTCCTCACCTCCTCCTCCTCTCCTTCCTCTCTTCCTCACCTCCTCCTTCTCTCCTCCTCTCCTTCCTCTCCTCCACTCTCTCTCCTTCTCTCCTCTCTCCCTCCTCCTCCGTTCTCCTCTCTCCTCCTCTCCTCCCCTCTCTCTCCTCCTCCTCTTCTGCGTTTTGCTAACTCGGCACGTTTCTCCTCTCCTCAGAAGCTCGCCCCCTGACATCTCTCCTCGCCCTTTCCTCTGCTCTGATTGGACGCCGTTCGTCGGCGAGGTCAGGGGTCTGACATGCGATTAGAGCGATGACTGTAGCAGAGGGGCGGGGCCACAGGGGAGTCCGATCTGGGCGGCGTGCCGATCAGCTCTAAATCAATGGCGCTCCCTCGGCGTGTCTTCGGCGGCGGCGTATCGAGCCGGGTGATTGACCCTCCTAAAGACGTCTGTTTCCTCAAAGCCCAACTCTGACCTTTGACCCCTGACCATCTGCTGAGAGAGGCGTTCATTTGGCATCAAAACCGCGTTCGCTCAGATCACAGGATCAAAACGGCGAGAGGTGATGGCGAGAACACCGACATCGACCAATCAGAGAGAGGTGAACTCATCATCACACACACACCTGTCATGGTGGCAAACAGGTGGAGCTACGGCGGCGTGTAAATCTGACGTCTCTGCGGATGACATCCCAGAGTGTGAGTGTGTGTGTGTGTGTGTGTGTGTGTGTGTGTGTGTCTGTGTGTATGTGTGTGTGTGTGTGTGTGTTCATGTGTGTGTGTGTGTGTGTGTGTGTGTCTGTCTGTGTGTGTGTGTGTGTGTGTGTGTGTGTGTGTGTGTGTGTGTGTGTGTGTGTGTGTGTGTGTGTGTGTGTGTGTGTGTGTGTGTGTGTGTGTGTGTCTGTCTGTGTGTGTGTGTGTGTGTGTGTGTGTGTGTGTGTGTGTGTGTGTGTGTGTGTGTGTGTGTGTGTGTGTGTGTGTGTGTGCTCAGCGTTGATCCTCCTCAGTTTCTTTTCCTCGTCGTTTCCTGCAGCATCTGTCTCCATCAGCATGAGGCCGCTCAGCGAGGGGGGGGGGGGGGGGGGGCGATTCCTCCCTTTATCTCCCCCTCATTATTTATCAGGAAACAGTTTTTTTGTTTTTTATAAACTCCCTCCCTCTCTCTCTCTCCCTCTCTCTCTCTCTCTCTCTCTCTCTCTCTCTCTCTCTCTCTCTCCCTCTCTCTCTCTCTCTCTCTCTCTCTCTCTCTCTCTCTCTCTCTCTCTCTCTCTCTCTCTCTCTCTCTCTCTCTCTCTCTCTCTCTCCCTCTCTCTCTCTCTCTCTCTCTCTCTCTCTCCCTCTCTCTCTCTCTCTCTCTCTCTCTCTCTCTGTGAGTTTTTGGAGAGTCAGCGGAGGGTCAGATCACAACACGCCGCAGCACCTCCTCTGAGAGGAGGAGGAGGAGGAAGGGAGGAGGGAAGGATGGAGAAAAGGGAGGAAGGAAGAGCAGCTGGCAGAGGTGAGGAAGAAAGGAAGGAAAGAAGGAAGAAAGGAAGGGGGGAGTAAGGATGAGAGGAGGCTCCTGAGACTGAGGAGAGGAAGGGAAGAAGGAAGGGAGGAAGAAGGGAAGGAAGGAAGGAAGGGAGGAAGGATGGCAGGAGGGAGAGAAGAGAGAAGGGAGAAGGAAGGGAAGGAAGGAAGGGAAGGAGGAAGGAAAGAAGGGAGGAAGAAAAGAAGGGAGGAGAGGAGGCATCTGAGACTGAGGAGAGGAAGGGAAGAAGGGAAGGAAGGAAGGAAGGAAGGGAGGAAGGATGGCAGGAAGGAGAGAAGAGAGAAGGGAGAAGGAAGGGAAGGAAGGAAAGGAAGGAAGGGAAGGAGGAAGGAAAGAAGGGAGGAAGAAAAGAAAAATGGAAGAAGCAAAGGAGGAAGAGGAGGAGTAGAGAGGAGGAGGAGAAGAGTTTCAGATGGAGAAGTTTTCAGGAGGAGCTGGTTCTCCTCGCTCCGCTCTGAGATGTTTGATCTTCAGCAGAGACGAGGAGATCATCTGCATACTGATGAAGGGTGAGGAGGAGGAGGAGGGAGACCCTGATGAAGAGGAGGCCATGATGAAGAGGAGGCCATGATGATAAAGAGGAGGAGGTGTCTCCACCCTCACCCTGCCCTCTGATGGAGCCGGACTGGGAGTCAGTTCTGGAGGAGTCTGACCCGGACTTTGAATATTTAGCTCCTTCTGTCAGGATGCCAGACGACTTTATTCCGATATTTACTTTTCTTTGTCGGATTGTTCCGATCTTTCTGCCCTCCTCTGATTACATGAATCTTAAATTATGACTTTAAACTTTTGGATTTCTACCAAGATGTCAGATGTGAGGACATCGAAAAGCCGCTCCGCTGAAAAAAACCCACGAGCTTCGAGGCGCAGAGACCGACTCGCATCTTTAATCTTTTACCTTTTTACCTGCAGAAAAAGACCGGTCCGACATGGAGGTCGGAGGAGCGGCGACTGGACTCAGAGAGGAGGAGGGGGGAGGAGGAGGAGGAGGAGGAGGAGGAGAATCATTAAGACCAGGGAGGGGAGGGGAAGCAGCCAATCAACACCTGAGAAATCTGTGGTCGCGCTCTCAGGAAACCTCCGAAAAAACATCACAGAGAGAGAGAGAGAGAGAGAGAGAGAGAGAGAGAGAGAGAGAGAGAGAGAGAGGGAGAGGGAGAGAGAGAGAGAGAGAGCATACAGAAGTAACATAAATCCACCTGACCACAATCTCACCTACGGCTGTTTGGAGGAAGGATCTGAGATCCCTGTTCGATTTGTCTTTTTAAGTAAACGTGAACTCTCTCTTTGATGGGAGGGGCCGACAGGATGGGGGAGGGGTCAGAATGTGACCCATTGAACGACGCTGTGACCTCAGCAGCAGGGGAGGGGCTCTGAAACACTGACTGATTCAGTGAACGAATCTTTTGAACGAATCATTTTAATGAACAGATTCTTAAGATTCAGTCAAAAGAACTGATCTTCCATCACTAAAGCAAGAACATGAGGTTGAATACAGTTAAAGGCTGACTCAACCACGTTCAAGAATGTCGCCACAGCGTCCTCCGCCCCTTTCAAGTCAATCAATTGGATGATGAATTGGAGTGGATCAATCACTGCCTGTATCAGAGACAGTAAGCTCTTTATTCACTAAGTGATCAAATCTTTACATCACATGCATTCACTCTGACTCTCTGACTCTGATTCTCAGACTCTGATTCTCTGAATCACTGAATCCCTGACTGTGCCATTCTGACTCTGACTCCCTGACTCTGACTCTCCGACTCTGACTCCCTGACTCTGAATCTCTGACTCTCCGACTCTGACTCTTTGACTCTCTGTCTCTGACTCTCTGACTCTGATTCTCAGACTCTGATTCTCTGACTCTGACTCCCTCACTCTGACTCCCTGACTCTGACTCTCTGATTCTGACTCTCTGAATCAATGTATCCCTGACTGTGCCTCTCTGACTCTGACTCCCTGACTCTGACTCCCTGACTCTCCGACTCCGACTCTGATTCTCTGACTTTGACTCTTTGACTCTCTGTCTCTCTGACTCTCTGACTCTGATTCTCAGACTCTGATTCTCTGAATCACTGAATCCCTGACTGTGCCATTCTGACTCTGACTCCCTGACTCTGACTCTCTGACTCTCCGACTCTGACTCTCCGACTCTGACTCTGACTCTCTGACTCTCTGTCTCTGACTCTCTGACTCTGATTCTCAGACTCTGATTCTCTGACTCTGACTCCCTCACTCTGACTCCCTGACTGTGCCTCTCTGACTCTGACTCTCTGAATCACTGTATCCCTGACTGTGCCTCTCTGACTCTGACTCTGACTCCCTGACTCTGACTCTCTGACTCTCCGACTCTGACTCTGATTCTCTAACTCTGACTCTTTGACTCCCTGTCTCTGACTCACTGACTCTGATTCTCTGACTCTGACTCCCTGACTCTGAATCTCTGAGACTCTGACTCTGATTCTCTGACTCTGATTCTCTGACTCTGACTCCCTGACTGTGACTCTCTGACTCTTTGACTCACTGACTCTGATTCTCTGACTCTGACTCCCTGACTCTTAATCTCTGAGACTCTGATTCTCTGACTCTGACTCTTTGACTCTGACTCTCTGAATCACTGACTCCCTGACTCTGAATCTCTGAGACTCTGACTCTGATTCTCTGACTCTGACTCTGACTCTTAATCTCTGAGACTCTGACTCTGATTCTCTGACTCTGACTCTTTGACTCTGACTCTCTGAATCACTGACTCCCTGACTCTGAATCTCTGAGACTCTGACTCTGATTCTCTGACTCTGATTCTCTGACTCTGACTCCCTGACTGTGACTCTCTGACTCTGACTCCCTGACTCTGAATCTCTGAGACTCTGACTCTGATTCTCTGACTCTGACTCTTTGACTCTGACTCTCTGAATCACTGACTCCCTGATTCTGACTCCCTGACTCTGACTCTTTGACTCCCTGTCTCTGACTCTCTGACTCTGACTCACTGACTCTGATTCTCTGACTTTGACTCTTTGACTCTTTGACTCTGACTCTCTGAATCACTGACTCCCTGACTCTGACTCCCTGACTGTAACTCTCTGACTCTCCGACTCTCTGACTCTCCGACTCTCTGACTCTCCGACTCTCTGAGTCTTTACTCCTGATGTGACGGCCACAGGACGATAGTCATGTAGTTCCACCTCCTTTTCACCCTGAGATCACGTCTCAAAACGCTTCAGAGGAAGTGAAGAGGAGGACGCCGGCGAGTTCTGCTGCTCATCCTCGCCACAAACCCGGCCTGGAGAACCAACAACGCTGAGACTGTGGAGCGTCAGCGCTGCTATCATTATCTGTTAAGGAGCTCCTCCGTCCGTCCCTCGTCTTCGTCCCTCGTCTCCGTCCCTCCGTCCCTCGTCTCCGTCCCTCTTGGATCATCATTACCGCGGCGTTAGAACCTCCTCTGATTAAACGTCTCTAATCCGGCGCAGACAGCTGCAGTCCATTCACAGCTGCCTAATCTGCACGCCGCTAAATACGCTAAATACCCGCCAGACAATGGCCGACAAATGACAACTAACACGGGGGAGGGAGGGAGAAAAGGGGGGAGAGAAAACAAAGGAGGGAGAGCTGATTCCTCCATCAAAGACGGGAGTAAACAGAGCTGAGGGGGAGACACGCCAGGAGAAGATGACTGCTGCACTCTGGGAAATAAGGGGGGGGGGGAGTAAGGGGGGGGGTGATGGAGGTGAGTCTCCATCGGGATGTGAGATGAAATGTTGAACACGGGGGAGGAGAGATCTCTTTCACAGAGACTACAAACAGGGCGAAGAAGGTGCTGATGGGCGCCGCCGCCGCTGCAATCAAGACGAGGGGGGAGAGAGGGGGGAGAGGGGGAGGGAGAGGGAGGGAGAGAGAGGGAGAGAAATGAAAGTACTCGTCGATGGTTGAAATCACGGCGGCGAGGTTATCAGGCCGACGGCAATCACAGTAATGACAACATGGAGTGACATGATAGTTACAGGTGCACTCTGGGAAAATCATTCAGTGGGGGGGGCTTCATAAACTCGAGCCCACTGACCCTCTCTCTCTCTCTCTCTCTCTCTCTCTCTCTCTCTCTCTCTCTCTGTGCATGTGTGTATATATATGTGTGTGTCTGGAGGACAGTGTGTGTTGCATGCTGGGTAATTTCCTGAGGAGCCTGTGGATGAATCACAGGTGGACACGCCCACATCATGCAGGCGAAGAATAAGAGCATCAACACACACACACACACACACACACACACACACACACACACACAGTGAAGGTGGACGGCGGCGGCGGTGTAGCTGCAGTGTGGCGTCTGTCAGCGGCGGTGTGAGCGTGCATGTATTAGTCCACGTCCAGCCTGCGTGCTGCGGTGGCGTGGAGCGTCTATGTGACAGATTCTGGCGGTTACGGTTGTTAAGGGGCGAGATGATGATGGAGGGTCAAAGGTCAGCTGATGAGAGAGCAGGAAGTTTGTGTGTGTGTGTGTGTGTGTGTGTGTGTGTGTGCATGGCAGAAGTCAGTGATAGTGAAACACACGTGCACACTCACATGCACAGACTTCAGAAAAAAGGAGTGAATTTACAATTTTTGACTCTCTCTCTGACTCACTGTCTCTGACTCTGACTCTTTCTCTCTGACTCTCTGACTCTCTCTCTCTGACTCTCTGACTCTGACTCTCTGACTCTGACTCTCTGACTCTGTGACTCTGACTCTCTGACTCTCTGACTCTCTCACTCTGACTCTTTGACTCTCTGACTCTCTGACTCTTTCTCTCTGACTCTGACTCTCTGACTCTGACTCACTGACTCTCTGACTCTGATTCCGACTCTTTGACTCTCTGACTCTTTCTCTCTGACTCTGACTCACTGACTCTGACTCTCTGACTCTTTGACTCTCTGACCCACTGACTCTCTGACTCTGACTCTGACTCTTTGACTCTCTGACTCTGACTCTCTGACTCTGACTCTTTGACTCTCTGGCTCTGACTCTGACTCTTTGACTCTCTGACTCTGTGACTCTGACTCTCTGACTCTCTGACTCTTTGACTCTCTGACTCTCTGACTCTCTGACTCTGACTCTTTGACTCTCTGACTCTTTGACTCTCTGACTCTTTGACTCTCTGACTCTCTGACTCTCTGACTCTGACTCACTGACTCTGACTCTCTGACTCTCTGACTCTCTGACTCTGACTCTCTGACTCTGACTCTTTGTTATTTGCAGATAAATCTAAATCTCTGATTTTTTCGTCTCGTCCTCCTCAAACGTTCAAACGAACTTCGTCACCTTGAGTCTCAGTCCGCCTGAAATCACGCCGTCAAAGTCAGTCCATTAGACGTTCAGACGGCGCCGAGCTGTATTTCCTGTACCGGGGTCAGTCGCTGTGCGGTAAACAGACTCGTTCATCCAGCCTCACCCCTGGGTCACCCCTCCCCGCCTCCCCCATTTCTGAGATCCCTGCAATCACGAAAATGATCACTATCACTGCCGCCGCCGCTGCTGCCGCCGCCGCCACAGCGTAGTGGACTCTGGGACAGTAGCAGTCAGAGGTCATTTACATAATAACAGCTCATCTCTCAAAAAGAGCCTTTTGTTTGCCGTGTAACAGGAAGCTGTCAAGATGTCACCCTCGGCACGCCGCTCCAGTAAACAGAGGGGGAGGGGCTAATTGTGGTGGAGTAGAGAGGAGGAGGAGAGGAAGGTAAGGATGCAGAGAAGGAAGGATAGAAGCAGGCTGTTAAAAAAGGTGAAATGGTCCTTTAAAGTGATTGAAAGCAGCGTGAAGAGCTCGCTCACTCTGCCGCCGCCGCCGCCGCCGCCGCCACTTATTCATCCCGCCCTGATATCAAACAGCTCAGCAGCGGGTCACTTCCTGTTTATCTGGAGAACTTAAGGACGTACATGGACGTGTGTTACAGATCTGTACATGACACTGACACACACATGTGCACGCTAACATGCACACTCACATGCACGCTCACATGCACGCTCACATGCACGCTCATAGTCTGGGTCTGGTTCTGTGTGAACTGGGTCGTGTGTTTTTGGGTCCGATCAGGTTCCCCTGACTCTCTGACTCCCCGACAGAATGTTTAAAAACTGCATCAATGTCTTTCTGACTTCACTGACCAATGAGAATTGAGAGGGGGCGGGACTCTGGACGACGTAGAGGAAAGACTCGCTTTTTTGTTTCGGCGTTTTTGACGTAGAGACAGAAAATCAGATCCTTCAGCTCAGACCAGACTCACAGTTTTTAGGTTCTGTTGAAACCGGGTCTCTGCTGAACCGGGTCTCTGCTGAACCGGGTCTCTGCTCTCTCCCTGGACCGGGTACGCCACCTCGCCACATGACCCGGTTCACTCCAACGATGAGACGTTTCATTTCTCCTTCAGTTTGGAGAGGCGTGAAGTCGGAGCTCACACAGACGCACTCTTCTCCTCATGAGCCGTGACGAGAACACACACACACACACACACACACACACACCTTCCTCCTGATGAGAGTGTGTGTGTGTGTGTGTGTGTGTGTGTGTGTGTGTGTGTGTGTGTGTGTGACAGGAAATCACCAGCAGCCACTCGACCCAGGAGCGATTTCTCCTCATCTTCGCCGCTCCTCCTCGCGGGGCCTCTCAGCATCCACTCCTTCCTCGGCGTCCTCCTCCACGTCTCCGCCGCCCTCATCGCCTCTCACATCATTTGACATCAAAGGGGCCGCGACGACGCTCGCTGTTTACCCGCCCTGGCAGGCGCTCATTACAAAAACATCAAAATACGCCGTGCAGAGAGGCAGGGCGAATTAATGATCTCCCTGTGCCGCCATCGCCGCCGCCGCTGCTGCCCCGCACACCCTGGAAACGCTGCCAGGCCATTTGATGCAGAGCAAACAGGCGCTGATGGAGCGGCGTGCGGAGTCACACTCACGACCATAAACCCGCGCACACGCGTCCTCTAGTGCCAAGGCCTGAGGACGCTAACGACCGCTCAATTAGTGCGAATTAGGCGAGCATTGTGCCCGCCATGCTGTGACCATTAGCGGTTGGCGGAGAGGATGAGGAGTGAGGGCCAGACGGAATCCCACGAGGGAGACCTCGCAGACCCTCCTCACGCTTAACCCCGCCCTTCAAAAACCACCACGGTTTTCACGGCGTGACCTCGGGTTCGGCGTGGACACCTGATGGCGTGTTGGTCCGGTGATTGACAGAAGAACAGCAGCTGTTGGTTCCTGTCCAGCTGGATCTTCTCAGAACCAACAGGTCCAGGGACGGTCCAGGAGAGGAACTGGTACCATCAGACCGGTTTAAAGGGGAGGGGCTAAGGTGGAGGTGGGAGGAGCTGCAGCAAAGAAGGTCAGCAGAGGAAGTTCTCAGGGAACTCTGTGGTGGACAGGTACCGGGTCAGGTCTGGAAAACCTGTACGTAAACCTGGAATGGACTCTTAAAGAAACCTGAACTGGACTCAAAACCACTGATGGTTCACCCTGGTTCCTGGTTCCTCAGTTCCTGGTCCCTGGTTCCTGGTTCCTCAGTTCCTGGTCCCTGATCCCTGGTCCCTGATCCCTGGTTCCTGGTTTTTGGTTCCTGGGCATTCATCATCAGAACCATACCCCTGGCTAATACGTCTCTCTCTCTTTAAGCTAACAGCCTGGAGTCGTCGTCGTCCGTGTATTTTTGTGGTTCTGTAAATATCGTGTTTGTTCTCCTTCTGTAGACCGAGAACAACGTTTGAGGAAAATCAGAACGAAGGGTGAGGAGGAGAGGAGGAGAGGAGGGGAGGAGGGGAGGAGGAGAGGAGGAGAGGAGGAGGAGGGAGGGGAGGAGGAGGAGAGGAGGAGGGGAGGAGGGGAGGAGGGGAGGAGGAGAGGAGGGGAGGAGGGGAGGAGGAGAGGAGGGGAGGAGGAGAGGAGGGGAGGAGGAGGGGAGGAGGAGGGGAGGAGGGGAGGAGGAGGAGGAGGAGGAGGGGAGGAGGGGAGGAGGAGAGGAGGGGAGGAGGAGGAGGAGGTGGAGGAGGAGGAAGAGGAGGAGGAGGAGGAGGGGAGGAGGAGGAGGAGGAAGAGGAGGAGAGGGAGGAGGAGGAGAGGAGGGGAGGAGGAGGGGAGGAGGAGGAGGAGGAGAGGAGGGGAGGAGGAGAGGAGGGGAGGAGGGGAGGAGGAGAGGAGGGGAGGAGGAGGAGGAGGGGAGGAGAGGAGGGGAGGAGGAGAGGAGGAGAGGAGGGGAGGAGGAGAGGAGGGGAGGAGGAGGGGAGGAGGAGAGGAGGAGAGGAGGGGAGGAGGAGAGGAGGGGAGGAGGAGAGGAGGAGAGGAGGAGAGGAGGGGAGGAGGATCTGAACACGGACTCAGTCTCTGCTCCCCCTCTCCCCCTCTCTCTCTCCCTCTCTCTCCCCCCCTCTCTCTCTCTCTCTCCCCTCTCTCTCCCTGTCTCTCCCCCTCTCTCTCCCCCCTCTCCCCCTCTCCCCCCCCCCCTCTCTCCCTCCCTCTCCCCTCCTCTCTCTCCCCCCTCTCTCTCCCTCTCTCTCCCCCTCTCTCCCCCCCCTCCCCCCCCCCCCCCCCCCCCTGTAACGTGGTCTTCTTTTATTCCTAAATTAATTCTTAATCTAATCCGTACAGGTCTATTAATAACTATTATAAAGCCGACCCCGGACCATGAATTAATCAGCGTCTGCTAATTAGTCGAACATTTAAATGCATGTAGTAAACCCACATCATCGTCATCGGCAACGACAGTCTGCTGCTGCCGCCGCCACCGCCGCCGCCATAGAGCCAGCTCGCCTAATTAGTTCGCAATTATGTTTAATAAGTTCTGAGGGAGCCAATCAGATTAGAGCGGGGGGGGGGGCATGGAGGAGGAGGTACTGAGGCCGATACACAACACAATATACACACAACACAATATACACACTACACAATATACACACTACACAATATACACACTACACAATATACACACTACACAACACAATATACACACTACACAATATACACACTACACAAAATACACTACACAATATACACACGACACAACACAACACTGTGATGGACTTGTGACCCGGTCTCGGTCCTGGACTCTTGATGACCCTGCTGACGGTCTGATGGCGGACTCTCGCTCAGTTCTGAGGTCAAAGGTCGCTCCCTCCCTCCTGACAGCCTTTTTTCCCAGAATGCTTTTCACCTGTCGGGACTGTCAGCTCAGCGAATGAAGAGACCGTGAGGAGTCAGTCTGTCCAGTCAGCGAGTTCTTGAATCGGCCGCCGTGACGGGAAGCCGTAAAAGGAGACGTGAAAGTTTGGTCGAATCTGCTGCGGCGGCGGCGTGTTTTTACAATGCTAATGAGCGTGCGCGGTTATAGGCGGTGACCTGCAGGGGGCGGTACCGGGGTGAATCTCATTTCAAAGAGTAAAAGGCTACAACAAGTTCTGCAGGAAGAAGAAGAAGTTCTGGACAAAAGTTAATGAAAACCTCGCTGGGAGAGGAGCAGTGGTTAGCGGGGTTTGGCGAGGGCGAGTTGGCGAGCTGGCAGACCGAAATCGGCGAGCGTAACACCATCACCTCCTAAACCGTGATAAAACAAAGAAAAGTCAGAAAGTGTTTAAATTATACCGCAAAGTTCGAGGAAAGAGCAGCGAGGACGCAGCGGCGTGCACTCTCCGCGCCTCCGGATAACAACGGCGAATAATAAAGAAATCAACACAATGATGAACCCCATGAATGCATGAACTCTGCCTCGCCGCTATCTGCCAGGCTGAACGCCGCCGCCGCCGCCACGGTCGAAACATAAAAACACACACACACACACACACACACACTCTGTGCAACTTGGCTGAGAACCAAAAAGCCTCCAAACGAAACCACGGGCCAGTTTATCAGTGAGCAGCTACAGGAGGAGGAGGAGGAGGAGGAGGAGAGAGAGGAGAAGGAGTAAGAGGATAAGGAAGAGGAGGAGGAGAAGGAAGAAGAGGAGAGGGAGGAGGAGGAGAAAGGGAGGAGGAAAAGACCCCCTCGCTCCTCAGACTAAATATTTCCCAGCATGCTTTGGCACGGTCAGGTGTTCTTCTGCTCTTTGGACATGATGGCGTCAAAGAGCGGCGAGCGGCGGACATGTTAGCGTTCAAACGCCGACAGCTCGCCACAAAGATCTCCTCCTGAGCTCGAGGAAACGCGTCCAGGCCGAGCGGCGGGACTGTTGGCTCAGGCTGAGTGTGTGTGTGTGTGTGTGTGTGTGTGTGTGTGTGTGTGTGTGTGTGTGTGTGTGTGTGTGTGTGTGTGTGTGTGTGTTTGGACCCGTGCCCGTCACCCTCCGTGTTAATAAGAGTAATCAGCGCCCCCATGCCTACAGAGCGCAGCGGAGACATGGCGCCGGACCAGCGCCGCCACCTGAGTGTGTTTACACAAAACACACACACACACACACACATGCGCACACACATGCGCACACACACACACTCACACACTCAGCTAATGAGGGGAAATGCAGTCAATACAGTCCAATTGATCAGCATTGTCCAGCGACGGCGTGCGATCGATCGGGTTTCCCTCGCAGTAATGCCTCATTAGCGGCGTCTGCAGCGCGCCAGCAAACACACAATCAGGGAGTGATGCATCACGGCGCAAACAAATCATAGGGCAGTTAATTTCAACGCTACGCTCGCTCGCTCGCTCCGGCTCATTTGGCCTCCTGTGGGTCTGAGGCGGATGAATGTACCGCCACCGCCACCGCCGCTGTCCAGACGCTAATATTAATATCAACGCTGTGACATCACTGTTAGACTGTGTGAGTGAGAGAGAGAGAGAGAGAGAGAGTGTGCAGCTCTGAAGGTCTGTAGGTCTGTAGGTCTGTAGGTCTTTATCTTAGTAGGTCTGTAGGTTGGTGGGTCTGTAGGTCTGTTGGTCTGTTGGTCTGCAGCTCTGGTCTGTAGGTCTGTAGGTCTGTAGGTTAGTGGGTCTGTAGGTCTGTAGGTCTGCAGCTGTGATCTGTAGGTCTGAAGATAAGTGGGTCTGTAGGTCTGTAGATCAGTGGGTCTGTAGGTCTGTAGGTCTTTATCTTAGTAGGTCTGTTGGTCTGTTGGTCTGCAGCTCTGGTCTGAAGGTCTGTAGATTAGCAGGTCTGTAGGTTAGTGTGTCTGTAGGTCTGTAGGTCTGCAGCTGTGGTCTGTAGGTCTGTAGATTAGTAGGTCTGTAGGTCTGTTGGTCTGCAGCTCTGGTCTGTTGGTCTGTAGGTCTGTGGGTCTGTGGGTCTGTAGGTCTGCAGCTGTGGTCTGTAGGTCTGTAGATTAGTAGGTCTGTAGGTCTGCAGCTCTGGTCTGTAGGTCTGTAGATTAGTAGGTCTGTAGGTCTGCAGCTCTGGTCTGTAGGTCTGAAGATAAGTGGGTCTGTAGGTCTGTAGGTTAGTGTGTCTGTAGGTCTGCAGCTGTGGTCTGTTGGTCTGTAGGTCTGTAGATCAATGGGTCTGTAGGTCTGTAGGTCTGTAGGTCTGTGGGTCTGTAGGTCTGTGGGTCTGTCGGTCTGTAGATTAGTAGGTCTGTAGGTCTGCAGCTCTGGTCTGTAGGTCTGTAGGTTAGTGTGTCTGTAGGTCTGCAGCTCTGGTCTGTAGGTCTGTAGATTAGTAGGTCTGTAGGTCTGTTGGTCTGCAGCTCTGGTCTGTAGGTCTGTAGGTCTGTAGATCAATGGGTCTGTAGGTGTGTAGGTCTGTGGGTCTGTAGGTCTGTGGGTCTGTAGGTCTGTAGGTCTGTGGGTCTGTCGGTCTGTAGATCAGTAGGTCTGTAGGTCTGCAGCTCTGGTCTGTAGGTCTGTAGGTTAGTGTGTCTGTAGGTCTGCAGCTCTGGTCTGTAGGTCTGTAGATTAGTAGGTCTGTAGGTCTGTTGGTCTGCAGCTCTGGTCTGTAGGTCTGTAGGTCTGTAGATCAATGGGTCTGTAGGTGTGTAGGTCTGTGGGTCTGTAGGTCTGTGGGTCTGTAGGTCTGTAGGTCTGTGGGTCTGTCGGTTTGTAGATTAGTAGGTCTGTAGGTCTGCAGCTCTGGTCTGTAGGTCTGTAGGTTAGTGGGTCTGTAGGTCTGTTGGTCTGCAGCTCTGGTCTGTAGGTCTGTAGATTAGTAGGTCTGTAGGTCTGTTGGTCTGCAGCTCTGGTCTGTATGTCTGTAGGTCTGTAGGTCTGTAGGTTAGTGGGTCTGTAGGTCTGTAGGTCTGTTGTTCACTTACCTAAACTCAGGAGAGTTCGTGTTTCTGGACTCCGATCTTAAAGAACTCCTTCATTTCTCCGTCTGAACTCAGTGATTCGTCTGAAAATGGCAGAGTGGCGTGATGTTCAGCTCGCCGTCTCTGAGGTTCTTCACTTCCTGACACCAGCAGTAGATAAAAAAACATGGATTCTTGGCAGTGGAGTAAGTCGTAGACGGAGAAGTTTGACTCTGTGACTCGGTGAATTATCTCTCCTTCAACGCCGACTTTTCTAAAATTGTTCTGGCATCGCCGTAAACCTCGCCGCTTTTCACCCACTCAAGACGTCACCTGCACGCTCGCCTGCCGCCTTTTTACTGGCGGCTGCTGCCAAAAACCAGGATGGGCTGATTTCGGGGAGCGTCTGCTGGCTGACAGAGACGGTTCTTCTGTGGAGTCCAGACTGGCTCAGGTCCAGAATCCAGATTAGTTATTATGACTGTTTCTCAGGAACGTTACCGTGTTTCTCTACGGGATCAGAAGTGTTAAAAAGTTTACCTTTTAGTCGATCTATCGAGGGTTTCCAGACGTTTCTACGTCTGCCACAAGGTTTACGATCTCGCCACAGAAACAGGAGTTTGATCAGAGACGATTGATGGTGGATCTGCAGTGAAATACAAAGTTCTGTTCTTGGTTGACTTTGTTGGTTCTGAATCTTCTGTCTCATTTACATCCTTTTTCCTCCATAAACTGAAGCTGAGGTTGTCCTAAAATAAAGATGTTTATATATTTTCACTGCTGGGAAACCAGACCTGAACCTGCTGCTTTAAAACGACTTCAGCTGTTTGTTTAGCTGACCCCCCCCGATCCAGGCCCCATCAGGTCTGTGTCTGTCCTCTGTGGTCCGGTCCGGACTGGAGGACGTGAAACCTGATACCTGCTCTGTGGTCGGCTGTGTGTGTGTGTGTGTGTGTGTGTGTGTGTGTGTGTGTGTGTGTGTTTGGACGGAGGTTAGCGGGTCAACCTGTGTGTGCTCAGGCCTGTCAGTGTGTGTGGACGTGAAGTGGTTTCTGACACGGAGTGTGTGTGTGTGTGTGTGTGTGTGTGTGTGTGTGTGTGTGTGTGTGAGGCTGGTTCCAAACACTGCTCCCATAGAGGTGTCTCCTCAGGCGCACCGCTGATCCGCAGCCAGACTGCAGCTTCCTGAGGCTGGCGGGGATGAAAAATATCCCAAACACACACACTCAGAAATCACACACACATACACACACCGCACACACACACACACACACACACTCAGAAATCACACACACACACACACACACACACACACACACAAATCTGTGGAAAGCCTGCTTGTGTGCCTGGAAAACCCTGGAGTCCTGGGGGACTGGATTCCCTCAGAAAACTGTCAGGAGCTACTGACTCTATTTCACTCTTACTGACTCTCTGACTCTGAATCCCTGACTGACTCTCTGACTCTCTGACTCACTGACTCTTTAACTCTCTGACTCTGACTCTCTGACTCTGACTCTCTGACTCTCTGACTCTGACTCTCTGTTACTGACTCTCTGACTCTGACTCTCTGACTCACTGACTCTCTGACTCTCTGACTCTGACTCTCTGACTCTGACTCTCTGTTACTGACTCTCTGACTCTCTGACTCACTGACTCTCTGACTCTCTGACTCTGACTCTCTGACTCTGACTCTCTGACTCTGACTCTCTGACTCTCTGACTCTGACTCTCTGACTCACTGACTCACTGACTCACTGACTCTTTGACTCTCTGACTCTTTAACTCTCTGACTCTCTGACTCTCTCTGACTCTCTGACTCTGACTCTCTGACTCTCTGACTCACTGACTCTTTGACTCTCTGACTCTTTGACTCTCTGACTCTTTGACTCTCTGACTCTCTGACTCTCTGACTCTCTGACTCCCTGACTCTCTGACTCTGTGACTCTGACTCTCCGCCCACGTGGTCACCTTTAGGGTGTGGTCAGGTAGAAACCCTGAGAAGACCTGAGTGGAGCGCCGTTTGTCTGAGCAGGGGCGTGTCCTAGGCGGGGCATGGCCCCCGTTTGTTTGGCCCCCCATAGATCCAGGTCTCCATCCAAGTTTTACGTCTGAATTAAAAACGGCGCCCAGAAACCCGGAGAGCGTCACGAACTGACCAGGATGTCAAAGAGCTGCTGCGTCGTGTCTCTGCGCTCTGATTGGCCGAGTCGTAGGAGGTGCTGAGTCTTCAGTTTCAATCTCTCCGGCGTCTTAAACGGCGCTGTGACCCGTATTACAGACATTACAGCCCAAACAGGAAATGGCGGTTCGTTCAGCCGACAGGAAGAGGTCCAACAGTCAGAACTCATCTCAGCCTGTGTCCCCCCCCCCCCCTCTTTTCCATCTCCAGCCCGTGAACGCCGTCAGTCCGGAGCGGCGGTGGCGAAGGTGTCAGCGTAGGTTGTCTGTTTGTCCATTAAGGCCAAACGTCGGCCTGTCAGGCTGTGAGCCGCCATGGCGCCCGAACAGGTCTTTAAAGTGGTAACCGGAGGAGGGCGAGGTCAGGGGGGCTGTTTGGCGGCGTGTCAGTCAGCCTGGCGTGCGAATGGCGAGGGGCGGATCAATCAGAGGTGTCTGATTAAGAGGAAGAAAGCGGGTTCCCATTTCCCTCCGAAACCAAAAAAGGCCAATCCCGCCTCATGTAGATTGGGTGTCATTCAAACGGACGCCGCCTCTGACTTGTGTACATAGACAAACACATTAACCGGCGGCGCCGATTGCCGTAATGACAGTAATAGAGCGCGGCGGTGACAGACAACAGAATGGCGGGCGGTTGAGGCTGACAGAGGAGGAAATAAGGAGAAAGATTTCCTGTTTTATCTAAAGGTCTCTCTTCTCCCGCGGCTAAAGGTGCTCATTTGGCGAGGTGAAACGGCGCCGACACGGCGAACGGGGCCAATTTCCCTCCCATCAAGTGTGTGTTTAATTTTCGCCATCCCTCTTTCCCTCGCCGCTCCTCCGCCAAGCCTACAATTGATGTTAACATCTCACTTGATTGGACCATTTCCAGCGCCGCCGCGGCGCCGCCGTCCGCTCTGCCGTTATTAGTAATCCGCAAACATCCCCGAGTTCGAGAGACGGGAGGAGTCCTGCAGGGAACTCCTCCTCCTTCAGAGGAGCAGCAGGAGGTGAAGGAGAGAGAGGAGGAGGGGGAGGAGGAGAGAGGAAAGGAGAGGAGAGGAGGAGAGAGAGAGAGGAGGAGGTGATAGAGGAGAGGAGAGGAGGGAGGAGGAGGAGGAGCACCTCCTCTTGACAGATCAGGACGTCCAACAGGAACCAGTCTCCGTGTCTCGAAGTCGAGGTCAAAGTTCAGGCGTCTTCCTCCGTTCTGATCTGATGTTCTCTCCGCCGTGGCGTTCTGTTTCCTCGCCGTCCTTCCTCCATCTGCATTCATGGTAACTACGGCAACAGCAGGGGTCCAAATCAGGACGATCTTCCCCTTTGATTCGTACCCGGGGATTTGACTCCGCAAAGTCAAGAGTGGAGCGGCGGCGAGCTGGGAGACGAGGCGGCGGCGGCGCTCTGCATATTGTAATGTGTGTGTGTGTGTGTGTGTGTGTGTGTGTGTGTGTGTGTGTGTGTGTGTGTGTGTGTGTGTGTTTATGTGCGTCTTTCTCCCCGTCTCTTCGTATTCGCCGCGGCGCAGCACGGCCCTGCGGGAGACGGGGAAAGTAGAAGCAGCGCGGCGTCCGTGTGGTTATGCAAAATCAGCTGAGTATAGTGTTTGTAAAGGCGGCGAGCTGTTCAAACAAAGCCTGATTATAGAGCTCGCCGTTTGCTCGCCGCTCGCCGTTCGCTCGCTCTCCCCCTGTCCTCCTTTTCCCATTTTTCCAGGTGAGAAGATTACGGCGCCGGTCGTGTCATTTCGCTCAAATTACACACATCTGACAGCCTGGAGCGTGCATGTGCGTGCGCACGGCGTTGTGTTGTGCGGGCGTCTGTGGGTGTGTCCGTGTCTAACGGGAGCATCGGCGGTGAAAGGTCGGCCTTCGGTGTTGGCGGACCTCTAATTTGTTCCGCCACGGCAGAAGTCGGCTAATGCAGCGCACCTGCTACCGCCACACCGTCATTAGTCGGCGCAGCGCGGCGAAAAGGTCGAACATAAACAGAGAGGTCAGAGAGAGAGCGGGAGAGAAACGGCGCCGGAGCGAGGAGGAAGAGAAAAAGAGAGCGAGGCGGCGTGCGGCGGCAGAGAGAGATGAGCGCTAATGTGGGGATGATGAGTGGGCGTGGGCTGCCCGTGTGTGTGGAGCGATGCATGATGGGAACACTTCACACACCCGGGGCGCCCGCCTCTGATCCCGGAAAACAGGCGGCGACCGGAACAGAGGCGCGCCGCCACTGCCGCCACTGCCGCCGCACACCTGTGTACACAAACACACAGAATCAGAGCACAGTGTGAGAGTGGTCACATGGTCACCTGAGGAGACACACAAACACACACAAACACACACACACACACACACACAGGCAGAGAAGAGTGTGTGTTTGTGTGTGTTTAAGTGTGTGTGTTTTGGTGAATGGATGTCTGTTGTATCATCAGTCTAATCTCTGGGGGGGCGGGGTCACATCATGAGGTCAGCTGTAGATCTGTAGATACATAGATGTGTACTTGTATAGACACATAGATGTATAGATCTGTAGATGTGTAGATGTGTAGATGTGTAGTAGTATAGATGTGTAGATGTGTAGATGTGTAGTAGTATAGATGTGTAGTAGTATAGATGTGTAGTAGTATAGATGTGTAGTAGTATAGATGTGTAGTAGTATAGATGTGTTCGCACTGTTTCTGGCCCCTGCAGGAGAACAATGGCGGCGTCCGGCGTGCGGCCCTCGCTGACCTCCTCCTGATTGGTCGTCCACTCAGGAAACAGGGACCCCTGCCAAGTCCTCCAAAAGTTAGCGCCTGGTTCGCCACTCTAAACAACAAAACAATGATTGCTCTCGTGTCAGCGGCGCCGCTGTCGGCGGCGCCATCAGGCAGCGGTGCCAAGACTCTTGTGGTCCATCGAAAACAAAGTGGGTGTTTGACAAGTATCAGCGAACACATTAACGCCAAGGTGGGAGAGACGGGCGCCACGCCGCTGAGTGACCGTCAGCCGCAGCCGGTTTGAACCGGTTTATTAAAGCGGATCATCGACAAAACACGCCGCCATGTTTCTACGTGACGATGGCGAGAGGGAGGGAGAGAGGGGGAGAGAGGGGGAGAGGGAGAGAGAGAGAGAGAGAGAGAGAGAGAGAGAGAGAGGGGGAGAGAGGGAGAGAAAGAGAGAGAGAGAGAGAGAGAGAGAGAGAGAGAGAGAGAGAGAGAGAGAGAGAGAGAGAGAGAGAGAGAGAGAGAGAGAGAGAGAGAGAGAGAGAGAGAGAGAGAGAGAGAGAGAGAGAGAGAGAGAGAGAGAGAGAGAGAGAGAGAGAGAGAGAGAGAGAGAGAGAGAGAGAGAGAGAGAGAGAGAGAGAGAGAGAGAGAGAGAGAGAGAGAGAGGGAGAGAGAGAGGGGGAGAGAGAGAGGGGGAGAGGGAGAGAGAGAGAGAGAGGGAGAGAGAGAGAGAGAGAGAGAGAGAGAGAGAGAGAGAGAGAGAGAGAGAGAGAGAGGGGGAGAGAGAGAGAGAGAGAGAGAGAGAGAGAGAGAGAGAGAGAGAGAGAGAGAGAGAGAGAGAGAGAGAGAGGGGGAGAAAAACTCACCAACGACTCTGAGAGACGAGTTTACGTCCTGTTATCTGAAAATGAGGAGGAGGAGAGGAGAGGAGGTGAAGGAGGAGATCCCTTTATCCAGCCTCACCCCCTGACTCAGACTCCCCCGGGGGAGGAGGAGGTGTGGGGGAGTATCTGGCGGGAGTCTCGGGGCGAAAATCCAGGAGGAGCTCAGAGTGTCACACGGGGGGATAAAGGGGGAGACGGGGGGAGGTGAGCGGATCGGCGTGTTAACGTGTGTGTGGGGGG